GTCGGGAAGTCGGCTACGTGTGAGCCCTTAACGGTACACTGCACCAGGGCTAGTTGGATGTGATTGGTCGGGCAGGGCAAGGGGGGGGTTGAGATCGGCGCTGACGAGAAATGTCAGCATAGTGTCGATCGAGGCGGCATGTTATAGACACCGAGAGGAGGTGTGTCCATCTTGGCGGCAACGAAGGCAACCGTGACGGGCCTCGAGGGCGGCATGCTCCTCAGGGGATACAACTCCACGAGGAGGGATGAAACCCTGCGGGAGGTCTATGTGAGGGACAGCGAAGTGCGGGTGCCAGCGTGTGCAACCCGACTGCTTACGACTTATGAAAGACATCACCATTTGGAAGCGGTCGGCCACCGGGACAGTGTCGTAGTGGATGACGTCTCGAAGCTTAAGGTCCTTAGGGGCGTCTCCAAGGGTAGGGTCAAGCTCCACTTAGGCGTCCTCACCATACTCGAGAGAACTGTAGCGCCGAGAGAATGGCGCTCCACAACGACCTCTAGTAGTAACTTTCACAAATGTGCCAAGAGAAGGAATATTTATTTTATTGGAATTTTTTACAGTATTTCCCTAACCCCCACGGGGTCAAAAAAGTGCCAAGAGGAAGAAGAGGTCAAGAAAAGCACACCAAGTTCCAGAATACCACAAATTATAATTTTCAGAAAAAATAAATAGAGAAATAAAGAAATGAGGTGAAGGAGAGTGAAGAGAAGACGTAGAATTTTTAAAAAAATTCGCCAACGTTTCATTACCCCCATGGGGCCGAGGTGTGCCGTCAAGAAGAATAACTAAGTAAAACGGGAAAATTTGGCCAGCACTTCATTTGCCCCCAAGGGGTCAAAATGTGTTGAAAAAAATAAAATAAAAATTGGCAGCACTGCGTTACCCCCAAGGGGTCAAAATGTGAACCGAAAGCAAGAATGACTAAGTAAACAAGCTATAAGGGTGCCGCAGAAACAAATCGATTTTTTTTTTTAAAGAATAAATAAAAAATAAAATAAATCAGAAAAATAAACAAGAAGTAGGGGATAAGATAATTCAACTTTCGAAAAAAGAGAAAATTTAAATCAAAGAGAAAGACGAAGGAAGAAAAAACAGAAAAATTTGAAGTTGACGAGGGGGGGAGTGAAAAGGTGATGAAGAAATAGAAACAGATGAGAAAAAGAAAATAATTGAAGCGGGAGGTTGGGGGGGATCATGGGGTTGTAGTAGGGGGAGGGAAGGGGGAGAGGAGGGTGAGAGAATGCGAGAGAAAGGTG